AGAGAGAGAGAGAGAGAGAGAGAGAGAGAGAGAGAGAGAGAGAGAGAGAGAGAAGACTGGCATATCTTCCTCCAAATGTTGAAAAGATGCCATTGGCCTTTTTGGGGCGGTGGTAATTTTCCAAATACCCCCATAAGTTGAGATGTATTTCAAAATGTACCTGAAAGATCTCGGTACAGTGGAATGGGCTTTTGGGCTGACATCTTTGTGTTATGCCCCTGTCAGCCGTGTGTGCAAATTCGCAATGTCAGCCTCCCCGTTTGGGCCTTGGCCTTTTGCAATTTCACCTACGAAAAGTTGGCAACTACCGGGGCATTTTGCAAAGTTGGACGGTGTCCGGTAGGGGTACATTGCAAAGATGGGGTCCAACCGATGTCCGGGGTGTTTCGCAAAATGTTTTTGTCATCGTGCTTCGCCGCAGTGTGGCTGCGGGAGGTCCACATGTAAAGTTAAAACTTAATAGTTGTATGAAGATATAATCGGCCAATCTCGGTAGCTTAGAACGTCAAACACATAGCTGAACCGGTGGAGACTTGCCTGGAGTGAATACAAGCAGCTCTGTGGGCAGAGGCACAAATATGTTTTTTTTTTGTTAATTGATTCGTGGACGCGAAAGCATGTGGCAATTGCACAAAAGATTCATTTATTCATCAATTTATTGTCGAAGTTTGTGCCGTTCTATCCTGGTGATTGCACAAGTTTTGTTTTTCTTTTTTTTTTGTTACGATCCTGGCCAATTTGGAAGTGCAGAAGTCAGGAGAAAGCACAATGCTGTGAATGAACTTGAGAGGAGAGAGATAAAGAAGAAGAGGAAGAAGAAGAAAGAAAGAAGGAGAAGAAGAACGAAATTCAACTTTTAGAGAGAACCTACAAGCTACAGCCGTTCAGAAATGAAAAGACAAAGGACTAGAGAAAGATATGGTGTTCAGACCAAGATACTCCATCCATCCACCCGTCAGGTGTGAAAGCAGTTTGCAAACTCATCCACACAGCCAAGACCATAGAGGACAGGGAAAGCACCAGAATCAAACCCCTACAGGATATGCAATACCACGCACCACACACATGGGCAACCCTTGGGTGCACGACACTTACCTGAGTGGTCTGGGCCCTTGAGATGAAGTGTAACTCACACCCCCCCTCTCATATAGTATTCCTGACCCAATTATCATCCTCTACACTAGTGTCCTATCATCTAGGAGGGTCAACTTCTACCCCAAAGTACAACGCCGGATCCTCCGTCGATGTTGAAGACCAAAGTAGCAACTTGCAGTCCGTGGGTGCAGATATGGCTGCTACCCTCGAGGTCGCCAACTTGAGGGGAGTCCTAAAGTCGCTCAATGTCTCCCTTGAAGTCCAGATTCCAGTTGTAGGCGCCTCTCCCAAAATTGCATCACGAAGCTTCTCCACGTGTCTCGCCACCACAAACATGCTCTCTAGCAACCTGGCCGGGTCAAGGGCCTGCCAGGTGGGAGCAGCTTCCCTAAACCACGCTACCCCACTTCCCTTAAGATCCAACCCTGACCCTAAGTGGTTGTCCGTAACCACTTAGGTTAGGGTTATGGCGGCAAAGTCAACTCTCGCCAGCAAGTGGAATCCGCTCTGATACCAATGTTATGATCCTGGCCACTCCTCCTTTCACCTCCTCTCTTATTCTCACAAGAAATAATTATAATTATGATGAATGGCTGAACCAGAATCAAAGTCCGAATCCCACTTCCACTGCTTGGCATAACTAGGCCATGTTAAACTGCGAATTTGTGCTGAGCAATAGGTGGGTTTGTCTGCATCTACAGGTTGGGTGTGGTGTGGGCAACACAGTTTTCCCATTGCTGGAGGATAACCCTGAAGCCTTTGTCTATGCCTGTGACTTCTCTGAGAGGGCTGTCAACTTGCTGAAGGTTAGCTTTGGCGTTCCCCTGTCCTCCCCCTCGCCGCCCTCTCTTTTCCACTCTTCGTCGTCTTTTTCTTTTTTTTTTCAAATTAGGATTGTTCCCGATTTATGCGTGTCATGCTTGCACAGGAGCCGTGCTAGTTTTCTCTGTATTGTTCCATTTTTTTTTTATTATTATTATTATTATTATTATTTTTTCAATGAAATCAGGACCTTATGGTCCTGGCTCCGTTCTATTCTGGGGAGCGTCAGTCCGGTTCCTATTCCACCGGCAAGTCAAAATACACATTACATTGAGACTCACTCACRCTTCCTTCCGTTCGGCCGAAGGTCCCCTGGACAGCATTGATTGCTCCATCATGRTGGASGATTGACTGCCAGCTTGCCATATCCCTCTCTTTCCTCTCAGATCTGGAGGCCTGATCTGCCAAATAGTGCTATGCCACCTAGAAAGAGCTCCCCCTTAATCCCTACTGGCCTGCCTCATCCCCATTCTTCTGACCTGCCCGTGAGGCGTGATAACCCCTGTCCCATTCTATTTGACCCCCTTACTTTAAAGTTTAAGTCATCATTAAATCTTGAATCTTAGACCTTCAACCCTTCGTCCCTTCGAGCCGGTGTTTCCCCTTGGTACAGTAGCCCTTTGGAACGCCCTTTCTCCTTGTTTTGGTCTTAAAGAGGCATCCTTCCAATTTTGTTCTGTCGAATCATAGCTGCAGTAGTTTGGCTTGAGTTCCCTTGGAGCTTAAAATGTCTGTGAAGGTGATTGATGAACCCGCCTTGGATCTCTGTTGGGAGCTCCTTTCTAACACTGAATTGTGGYTCCCTTTCTAGTAGATACAGTCCATTCTTATCCCGCCCTTTCTTGTACAGCCTCAATCTCCTTCTCTTTYGCTGACCCTCATCTTCTGCCGGGGCTTGCTTGACTACCCTTCCTTTTCAAGATTCTGGCCTGAAGGTGCCTTGCCCTTATGCGGTGAGTCTCTGTCCAATACTTCTTCCCRAGTTGGAGTTGTGCCAGTTCTTCCAGTAGATGTGGTCGTCTCGCAGATCAGCAACTTTCCCTCCCACCAACCATATCCTGCTGAAATTCTGTCTCGCGTTCTTTCGCTGTTCCTCATCCTCTGACCATGATGATTTAATTTTCCGCCAACGGCATAGGATTTCYGCCTGTATCATTGCTTTCGTCTCCAGCCAAACCATCTCTCGTGAGTTGGACACTCCTTYAATTGTTCTACTGCATCTTTCCTTCCATATGACCCATAGTGTCACTTTCCTGATGAGTCCATACCAGCTCTTTTCCGCTTTCCGGAATTGTTCAGGGATGTTAGTCAGAAGGAGAAGTTGGATGGGTTGTTCAGGGAAAGGAGTTAGGAAGAGGGAGTCCCATAGGGTCGAGGCCCTTGCCCAGAAATCTGTCGCTTCCCTACAGTGTATTAGGCAATGTACTATATCCTCTACCRCTCCCTCCGAACATATTTTGCATTGATCGGTGCTATCTGGGTCTGAATTCTTGCGCCTTACGTGTAACCACTGATTAACTGGTAATGCCGCATATGTAATCAGCCATTGAAGGCTTCTGACTTTGATTGGTCTGATTGTTTTATAAATTTTCCACGGAATCTGTGTGAGCTTGTCTGCTTCCTGTCCTATTAACTTCTGCCACCTGGTCTTAATCACCGGTTCTGGATCTTTTGTTTTTAGCAGTAGTTCGTATCCGAATTTGACCGTGTATTCCTGAATGGGGATGAATCTCTTTATATTCGCCCTCCTTTCTGGTTTCCATGCCCATTCCATCGGGTCGAACTCCAGGTTGTGTAGAGCTGTGTCGGTTCTGAAGATGAACTTCGGCCATGTGCCTAAAACCCTCACTTTTCTGAGCAGGAAATATTCCATAACTGTTGTCGCCACGTCTATGTTATTGATCGTTGTCATCCCCTTCGTAGAGTGGTCAATTGGGAAGGAGGTGAAAACCGCTTGAGTGGCTGAACCGGGGTGTAGGTGTGAGAATTGGACGGCCCTAGAGGGATAAGTTTCCTGCACTTTGATCCCCCATTCACCATTTTTCCATGGCTCCCCTTGTTTTAGCATATCTTTCCAATCCTGAGGAATGAGATTAATAATGTATTGCAGGTTGGGTTCTCTTCTATGGCATCCCTTCAAAAGTTCTCTTAGCTCTTGTTCAGAGACCCATTCTTTCTTTCTTCATTCCACAAGTGACTGATTGTCCAGACTCCATTTTTTACCCATGATTGCCATTTGTGGTCTAGAAACAGGGGTTCATCACTCTCGCCC